GTCCTGTCATGGGGCCAGGACTGAACCCGAACCCTGCCATTCCCCTCAGGGCTGAGCTCCCCAGTCTTGGGGATGAGTTCCCTGTGCTCCACTCAGGCTGAGCCCCTTTTGTCTCCCCAGGACCCCATTTTGTGGCTGTCAACAACAAGAATGAGATCGTGGTGACCGACTTCCACAACCACTCTGTAAAGGTGAGAGCAGCCACAGGCGGGTGCTGCGATGGTGCTCTCAGGGCTGGGGGGCTGCAGTGACCAGTGACCCCCACGACTTCCCTGTGCTGTCCCCCCATGCCCACCAGGTGTACAACGCAGAGGGCGAGTTCCTCTTCAAGTTTGGGTCGCATGGGGAGGGCAACGGGCAGTTCAACGCGCCCACAGGGGTGGCCGTGGACAGCAATGGCAACATCATCGTGGCTGACTGGGGCAACAGCCGCATCCAGGTACCAACCTATGCCTGCACAGACACCTGTGCATGCACCTGAACATCTGCACAGACACCTGAACATCTGCACAGACACCTATGTGTGCGCCTAAACACGGGTACCTGCGCAGACACCTGTACAGACACCTGTACACCTGTACCTGCCCAAGGGGGTGCAGCACTGGCCCCTCCCCATCTCTGCCCTGCTGTGAGGTGGTGTGGGCACCTGCGGGGACCCTGGAAGCAGCTGGGTTTAAGTGAGAGCAGCTGGAAGGAATTTTGGGACAGTTGGGAAGAGTCAGTGCAGGGTCTACAGTCAACTGGGAGGGGTCTAGGGTCAACTGGGAGCAACTGGAGTCAACTGGGAGCAACAAAGAAGGGTCTCAGGTCAAGTGGGAATGGTCCCTGGGGGCCTAGGGTCAACTGGGAGGAACTGGGAAGTGTTTTGCACCGAGAGCAACTGGGATGGACTGGGAAGGGGTCTGGGGTCACCTGGGAGCAACTGCTCAGGGTTTTGGGTTAACTGGAATAGACCTAGGGGGGATCTTGACCACATCTCCCCACAGAGAGTGTGTCCTGCAGGTCTGGGGGCTATCAGGGCTGGGGGTCCCTGGGCTTGGGACCATTGGGGGCCATTGGAGCTGGGTGACCCTGGGCCGTGGGGCTGTTGGGCACAGCTGTGTGCACCTCCTGCAGGTGTTCGACAGTGCGGGCTCGTTCCTGTCCTACATCAACACGGCGGCTGACCCGCTGTACGGGCCACAGGGGCTGGCACTCACCTCCGACGGCCACGTTGTCGTGGCCGACTCGGGCAACCACTGCTTCAAGGCCTATCGCTACCTGCAGTGACGGGCAGGACCCTGCGGGCACGGCTGCGGGCAGGATGGAGCCTGCAGCTGCAGCGGGGCGTGGACTGACGGCTGCCCCATGGCCTCGCTTGCCCCCCAAGCGCCATCCTGGCTTCATGTGCACTTTATCCCAGGGGGGGCAGCTGGGCCTGGGAGGGGGTGAGGATGGGTCCTGTGGGGTGGGAGCTGCCTGGGGGTCACGGTCTGACCCCTCACCCTGCCCCATGGCAGGGCCAGCATCCCACTGCCCCAGCTGACAGGGTCCCCAAGGTGTGGGGGGTGTGAGGGGCAGAGGGAGCCGCTGGAAGGGCTTGGGGGGACTGTGGGGTGGCCAGTCCAGAGCCCCATGCCCCTTGAGGGCTGTCCCCCATCTCCCCAGCCCCCCTCCCCAGCTGTGGGGTAACTGTGTGTGCCTGCTACCCCGCTGCACTGCTGCTCCACAGCTCTGGGGGGCTCTGGGGGTTGTGGGGCAGCTGCCGCACGCTGACAAAACTGTATGTACAAAATAAAGTATTCTGGAAGTTACCCTGGCCCCGTGCTGCCCCGTAGCCCTGCCTGTCCTTCACACACCCTGCCCTACAACCCCCTCTGTCCTGTGGGCCCTCCTGTGTGTGCTGGACACGCCCAGACAGTGCCAGGCCAAGCAGGGACAGGAACGGTGCCTGGAGCTCAGTGGCACCATGGGCGCCTGCCTTGCCTGGGCGTTCTTCCAGCACTGGCCCATCTGCAGGGACAGAGACAGACTGGGACTGGGAACAAGGCTGGACTGGGCGGGACTGGGAGTGGGGACAGGGTTAGACTCGTCTGTATTGGGTCAGGCTTGTCTGTGCTGGCAGCAGGATCTGGGTTGGACTGGTCTGTGTACCCAGGAGAAAGTGGTCAGTGACCTGCTTGGCCGCTCAAACCCCGCAGGTCCCTGGGGCCAGTGGATCCCTGGGGATATCACAGGGGCTGTGGAGGGGTCACAGAGCAACTCTGGCCATCCGTGGGGGATCCTGGAGGGCAGCAGAGCTCACTCAGATCCTACTCATCATTCCCTGCCAGCCCCTGCCACCCAGGGGTTCCCAGGCCCTGGAGGTGGCCAGTGACCCTATTCTCAAGCAGGGCTGGAGGGAAAATCCAGGGAAGTCCATGCCTGCTCCTGGTCCCCGATGCTGGGAAGGCCCTAGGACAGATCACCTGTGGGTCCCACAGCATGGGCAGGACAAGCAGAGGATCAGATCCAGCTGGGGCTTGGGAAAGACAAGTCCTGCCTCACCCACTTGGTCTCCTGCTGGGACAGGGTGGCCCTGGTGGCCGGGTGTGCCTGCCTGAAGCTTAGCAAAGTCTTTCGCACATTCTGCATCTCCCTGGCATCTCATGGAACACCTGCAGCCTGGCTGGGACAGGTGCTCCTTGTTGGGAACACCTGGCTGAGGACCAGGCCCAGGGAGAGGTGAGAATGGGGCCACATTCAGGGGGACCGGGCACTGCTGGGGCTCCCCAGGGCTCAGTGCTGGGTCCAGTGCTGTCCAGCAGTTACCAAAGGTCTGGAGGGAGCAATAGAGTGTGTCTTCAGTGAGTTCATGGACGACACACGGTTGGTTGGGGCAGGGACCTGCTGAGGGCAGGAGGGCTGTGCAGAGGGAGCTGGACGGGCTGGACAATGGGCCAAGGCCAACAGTGTGAAGGTCAACAAGGGCAAGTGCTGGGTCTTCCACACAGGTCACCAAAATACCCTGCAACATTCTGGGCTGGAAGAGAGGCTGGAAAGCTGGGAAAGAACCTGGGGTTGCTAGTGACAGTGACTGGACAAGAGCTCAGGTGTGTCCAGGTGGGCAAGAGGCCGATGACATCTGGACTGTACCAGCCCCAGTGTGGGCACAGCCCCAGGGCAGGGACTGTCCCCTGTGCTGGGCACTGTGAGACCCTCGAGGACTGTGTCCAGTTCTAGGCAAGAGAGACCCTGAGGGGCTGGAGCGTGTCCAGGGCAAGGAACGGAGCTGGGAAGGGGCTGGAGCCCCAGGAGGGGCTGAGGGAGCTGGGAAAGGGGCTCAGCCTGGAGAAAAGGAGGCTCAGGGGGGACCTTCCCAGGAAACAAGTGACAAGACAAGAGGAAACAGCTACAAGCTGTGCTTGGAGAAGTTCAGGTTGGACATCAGGAGCAATTTCTTCATGGAAAGGGGTGCCACATATTGTAAGGGACTGCCCAGGGGGGTTTGGAGTCCTCATCCCTGGAAGTGTTCAAGGAAGAACTGGATGTGGCACTCAGTGCTCTGGGATGAGTGACAAAGTAGGGATCAGTCACAGGTTGGACTCCGTTGGAGGTTATCGAACGAAGTGACTGTACAGGGTCAGACTGGTCCACACGGGGTGCAGGGACCCCGCATACCCTTTGTCACCATCGCTGCTCCCGCCTGACCCCTCCAGTCCCCGCAGTGCTGCCCCTCCGGGGTTGGCAAGAGCTGGGAGCCTCGAGACCCTCGCCCAGGGTTTAGGGGGTTGGGGGGCACTGCAGCCGCAGGGAGTCCAGTGCTGCGTTCGGTCCCGGTGCCAGCGCGGGGGCAGCAGGGTGGAACCCGGCGGTGCCGGTGCCTTGGGGGATGCCGCTAGGACTAACGAGGGGCTCAACTGGGCTGAACTGGTCCGTGGCATGGGGGGCACCGGCGGTCCCGCTGCCCGCCCGGAACAGCCGGAACGATGGGGCGGGCTCAGGCAGTGTCGGGGTCACCGGCCCCAGGAGTATCACTGGGGGGAAGGTCCCCCATTCCGCCAGTTCCCGCTGCCACCCTGGCTCGGATCGAGCTACCCGCCGCCGGCAAGGCCTGGGGCTCCCGCTCCCGGCGGGTACTCGGGGGTGTCCAGTGGTGCGTGCCGGGGAGGGCCCGGAGAGCTACCGGGGGTCCCGCGCGCTGTTGGTGCCGGAGGCGGCGCTGTCCCCCCCCCGCCGGCCGGAAGCGGAAGTGACGCGGCCCCGAGCCCCCCACCCTCCCCCCGCGACCCCCGGCAGCGGAGCCGCCGCGGCCGCAGGTACCGGCTATGGGGGCAGGGAGCGGGGAGGGGGGGGGGACACGGGCCGGCCCCGCCGCGCTGCGGGCAGGGATGAGGGGGCGAGGGGGGGCTGAGGCCCGTGGAGACCCCGCAGGCCCGGGCCGGGGGGGGAGCGGGAGAGGTCCGTGGGCGCGGGGTCCCGGTGGGATCTCCCTTGACAGGGTCGTGGGGCGGATGCGGAGGGGCCCCGGGCCGGGAGAGTCGCGGGGTGACCCCAGGGGTTGTGGTCGTTGCGGGGACTGCGGGGGACGCGGGGCCGTGCGGCGGGGGACAGTGCGGGATGCCGGGGCCGAGGGGGATGCGTGGGGGGACGCCGGTGCTGGGGAAACGCTCCC